GAGGTTGCGTAATAATCAGGGGGGTTAAAGAAGAATATAAGGATGAAAATAATTTACGCGTCAGAATTATGAAAGATAATTGTCCACTTCGCAGTGATCACTTACCGTTTAACAATTACAAGAATGATTAGACTAAAACTAAGTGATCGAATTCCCAGTTCAGTGGCAAAATTATAGCAAAGTTTCAAAAATACTTTTCTAATAAGTACAGAATAGAATACTTGTTCTAATACAGAGCTTTGATTAAGCTACTATTGAATACGCATAACATTTAGTTACCTAGCTAGATGAAATACGAAAACAAACTGCATAGGAAGCTTTGTCGTTGAACTACGATACTAGAAACTCGTTTGTATCTACAAGGAATAAAAATGATATCAAGTCATGTGTTGAGTGAATGATCCATTAGTTCATATTCATCTTTTTCAACTACATATGTGTCTTTATGCGTCACATATATTTAACGGACTCTATAACTTGGCCTTGACATAGTCTTTCCATAATGTATACTGATTTCCGTTTCTTAAAAAAAACTGATTCTAACAGACCGAAGTTATCTAGGAAATAATTCCATAACACTGTAGACAAAGATGCTTTTCAGTAATATAAGTCTATTGAGAACTGTGTGATTCATGTGTTGTTCAAGGTAGCTGTCATCATAGATAAACCAATTTTTCGACGATCCCAGTTATCAACGACTAGCCAAGTTGGTCAAAATATCTATTGTAAACAATCTTCTTGATTTTTAAGGTAAAGACGTTCACCAAATCTAGACTTTATTTTAACACTATACCTATTTATTTGAGTGAACGTCATGCATTTGTATTTTATTGGGGAACTGACACATGGTTTGGTGGCAATATACTTCTGTTCAGGCTAGGGAACTTTCAAACGTCTTTTCTTTCAATGTTCTTCAGTGAAGCTCTCAACCAGTTTTGTCTAAAAACATTTCTACAACCGGGTATTGGATTACTGACTAGCATTCAAATATGAAACTTCTAAAGCTTTCAGTTTATTGTCATTTTTCTCCACTAATGACACGGTTCTGTACAGAATTTCTGGTTTGAAATTTGGCATCGTGGAGTTTAAGACATCAATCGGTCAGTTTTCATCATGAAGTAATATTACCTTCAGAACCATTGCAAACCAAGGACTGTTGAGTAGATTTTTTCCTGGTTCCAGATTCGCCTTAGCAGAAAAATAAATTAGTCGGAACTGCTGCACAAAATACAACAAACCTCAGAGCTTATACACTATAGTGTACTGCTATCATTTACAAAACTGCCTTACAGAACGAGATAGTTATCATGCGTAGATTTAAGACTTCTATTCATAACTGTTACACGCGATATAAATTCACATCCCAAGAGTGTAAGGTAACACTGTAACCATACAGTAGCAGTACTATTTCGGGGAATACAATATAGAATAGATACGTATATACTTCTAACTGATGTGTTTTGTTGAATTATTCTTCCCTCAAGTTCACTTCCGATCAATTTAAATGCACAGATTGAATGACTTCTTCCCAACTCTGAATATTGACCATTGTTGATTTAGTAGAATCGTGAGATGTTTGCACTATACTTTATATTTATTTATCGATTTGTAGGAGGTGGATAAGAGCAGGTTGACATTTCAGACACTAAATATTAAACTTTAAAAACTCAGACATGTATGTTACATAATTATGGTCCACGTACGTTATGTTAGTATGATTCACAATGATTAAGTGAATAGGACCTCTCAGTAGTGATTAAACAGGTTTCCTTATTAGATCATGAAACCTATCCAAAGATACCTTTTAGGAATTCCATTCAAACTACAGTTAAGAAAGATACCAACAAAATCTCAGACTGAGTCAAATTACAGAATAAAACGTCAAACTTTCATTATTCAATATCTGAATAAAACGCATCCTGGAGCAGTGACCTGATGACTAAGCGTCCGACCTTCACTCAATAAGTTCTTGGCTCGAAACCCGCCCATTTTATTTAGATTTGGGTAACCAAGTAGTAGTATTAGCCCTCAGCTCAGACCCAAGTAGCTTGTGAATGGGTTAGTTTAGTTTGAACCAGATGTATCAAAAGTATTGAAGAAAATGTCTGTTTTGCATACTAATGAGTAATTATGAGATCACAAAAAGTCAACGAACGTCTTACCATTGATATTTTACAAGCAGTGTATTTCAATAATCGCTAATCTGTAATTCGTATGCTAACAAGATGAACAGTTAGAACATTAGTTTACCATTTGACGTTTTAAGAATCAAATTATCGAGCATAATTATATTTTAAAATTTGTAACTCGGTATGCATACTTTTTCGATAGAATTGAAACCAAGTCTAGAACAGTCTACCGGGCCTAACAAAAGGTCGAATGAAGTCAATTTTTCACAATCACGATGGTCAGAATTATTGTATGTATCAATTTCATGTGAATGTAGCTTTTGTACACTGATATATTACTTCAGATCATCTTGGATCATACAGCCCATTAATTTTACCTTTATCCAGTTGTAAATTTTGGCAACTAAAAGCGCACGTAGTGTTTAATCAGAACATACGTATTTATTTCCTTGTCATCAACAATGACCGCTTAATATAAAGTACAGTATGTCTCGACCGGTACATCAAAGCGTTGGCCAATAGAAGTGACGATTTAATGGAATGCATAGATGAAGCCTTATGATTTGATCCTACTTCAGACTACTTAAAAATATCCAAGGAAATAGCAGTTCAAGCCGCTGAGAAATCGTAACCCCCAAATACCCTAGTACTGCCGAGAGTCAGCTCTCCTTCTCGAAATGCTCTCACATGGCCACGTGCACACAACCACTGCCATGGAAGTCCTACTCACTACCTTCTCGTGATGGGGTTGTTGTTTACGAAATTGAGAGGACAAAGAACGAATGCCTGACGCTTTAAAAGGGTTGGTGGGTATGGAGGATCCAGCCAAGGGAGTTGAAAAACTAACTCCAAACCAATGGTGCACATGAGCTCCATGATTCTGAGGGGAAAATGGCGTATCGACCTATTGTTGGTCACTGGTCGCCATGCCATTGCATCTCCTAAAGTTGCTCCACTGCCTTGTGGACTAGACGTCTAAGTCAAATTCTCGAGGATTGGTCCCTTAAAAAAACCACCTGCTTTGGTTTGCATACCCGGGCAGTATTCCAGCCCTCACACAAATAGAATGATTTATTTAGCGTCTCCTTGTACCAACGTTTATTCGTTTAAATAAATATTTTGGGTTTTTGCATGAATGAGTGTTTCGAGGTCAGGAAGACTAGACAATGACAACAGGAAGAAAACTTACTGTTGTGATATGCATATTCTGACAAACGAGATTGGGAATAAATAATACGGCACATCAAACCCTAGTGTATTTATTTTGTTCCTAAAGCCTACTAGATAAGATGATTATTTTTAGGTAGACTGCAGGTAACTACAGCAAACGTTATGTTTCAGTATGTAGTGACATCTAATGTTTTTGAAAATTTAAATACTTCAAGCATAGTGACTGAAGTTAGTTATGTAAACGTTTGGAAATCAGTTCCATGCTCGCCTCGGAAACCGAAAGTTCTGAGACCGATCCCCAGTTGAAGAGCATATATGCACGCTTAATGAGTCTTATACTATGGTGGGACACCTATCCAGTGCTTCCTGGTTTCCGGTGGTTATTTTATTCAGGCCAGTCTGTGATAAAAACCATACAATCCAACTATCTTCACAGCCTCTTATGGCAACAGTGACTTGTATTGAATTTTTGAGTTTGAAACGTTACATGAGTTAAAGGCTTAGTGATGCAAGTAATTCACTTGTATTGACTTCATTTGTTATAAGTGGTGTTTGTGAAAACTACACGGAATTGGGTACCCATACTATCATTAATATCGTTTGTGTGATTAAATTAAAGGATATTCATGTAAGAATGAACCAAGTAGACATTTGATGTGTTTGACTTCCATATGTATAATCTAAACAGAATGGGGACAATTGAGCTTCATCGTTCGAAAGATTTCAGAAACAGACTCAAACAAACGTAAACACACACCGTTTTCGGGTTGCCGTAATTCACTTCAATATAAAAATAGTAGATTAACAAGTGGGAAAATGAATACCAGCAAGGTACATGAGGTAGATATGGAATAGCATAAAAACCTCTTTTCTTCAAGTTCACAATCTTAGGTTTTGTGATTACTTCCGTAGTTAAGAAGTTTGATATGAAATCATAGCTATAGAATCTTGGGAATAAGTGCAACAAAGTAGAAAAGAAATGAAAGTAACGACACACTGAAGACCGAATGATTTGAGTATATCGGTCAATGTAAAAGTTAATGAACCCTAAAAAGCATAATTGTGATCATTTTACTACTCACAAATATATTTCCTAGTAAAATAGCACAGATTAGTGTTCCAATTACAGGCAGATATTTATTTAAGGCGTTTACCAACACACAAACTGATCGATAGAAGAGTATATGTAGAAAGAATAACCTTGTTCGCTGTGGAGATTAACCTAGTTTGTAATAAGCTTCTGATTTTGAAAATATATGAGCAATGATATTTCAGATAAGAAATTGCTGGAATCTTATAAATCATGGAAATGTATCAAACTAGAATAAAAAAATGTACATGATATATTCGTAATATATCTAGAGTGAGTACCGTGTAAAGCTTGCCAATAGGCATCGGGTTTCAAAATACCTTTGAGATATGGAGATAAAAACGAGAAGCATCAATCCAATTAATGAGAATAATTAACAAATCGTTCATGAAATCTGGTAATTTATTGAAAACCCATAGTGAAATTCATAAAATAAATATTCTATTGTAAAAAAACTATACAAAACCTTTAGCGTTTTATTTACAACCAGTAAAGTTAAGTGATGTAGTGATAGCGATTGATATTTTTTAATTAAAATGCATAAATCGAAATCCAAGTGATTTTTTTACAGAGCCAGGGACAAGAAACAGCAGTGGAAATAGTTGTATTTCTCACCGAGAGTGCATGAAGTTGCAGGAGTGACCATTACGACATCCTCCTTGTTGAAAGAACTTACAAGGCTGACCATTATTCCTAGCATGAGAGTTTCCACGAGGATAAGCAGGCATTCGAGATGCTGGCGGACCATTATAAGGAGGCATCGGATTAGGAATGAGATGAGGTAAGGTGGGATTCATTGACTGAAAGGATGGCCTGTTAGGCATTCGATTTGAAGGCCCATAACCAGAAGGATTAGGGGGACATAACCTTGGTCCATGGGGAGGTGGTATAAAATCAGATCTAGGGACGGGGACAGGCATATGCGAAGGACCACGGAAAGGAGGACGGAAGCCATGGCGTGGGACAGGAGGATCGACTGGACAGTCAGGATACTGAAGAGGTGGTTTTGGTGGGCATGGGTTACGAAGCTGAAAAATACCTCGAGCAACGAGTTGATCACGTAACGGTTCGAGTAGATCTCGAATGCGCTCCGCACTTAAGTCATGAACATTAATGTCTGGATAATTCTGCTCCAAAACTTCCCACAATTCTCTTTGTAGCATTTGATCAATCGGAGAATGAGCGTTAGTTCCACGTACCGATTCAGAATTAGGACTATTTACGTTCATTTTTGTGTCGTTAGAAACAGGAACAAAAGCATTTGGTTGTAAATTGAAGTCAGAACAGGATGTTGTAGTTAAGACGGGGTTCATTTGAGGTGGCATCGTTTGAACAAGATCAGACGGAGAACTAGTGAGATTAGCCGCCAGAGACTTGACAAGGTTAGCAACCTCGGGATTTAATGACATCTAAAAGACAATTAAAAAAAATAAAGAAATGTTAAAACAAACAAATGAAGCGATTACTTTAGAGATTTTAGAAAACATGATCTTTTAGTGAGACAGTTGTATGAAGAAGTCATATTTAGATTTATACGTTTATTTGGGACCAAGATAGCTTAATTATTACGTTAGAATTTTCCAAAAATCCAACACTTAAAGTTGAAAATTAGCATAAAGCAAATAATAATAATAATAATAATAATAATAATAATAATAATAATAATAATAATAATAATAGATACATATGCTGATATCATATAGCTTTTTTTGTATTATCTCGGCAAAACCACTTTATGCCTTTTTGTATGCTCTAGCAAAGACTGGATTGCAGCAATTCAGGTAAACGTCTACATAAGTTGCTTTTGAATTTAGTCACATCAACAAACTTGAAACGATAACTATTCGTGAATAAACTTAAGAAAATGTAAATAAACAATAATTATGAACACAGAGCTTTAATAAGGACTATTCATCCTATTTCATAGGTATCATCACGAAGGTTTGAATTGATAATTTCAAATAAACTGAGCATTGAGTAGATTGCTATAGATAAAAATAATATATATGTAATATCCCAATGTGTAGAAAAGTTAAATTTTCCGATGTTTCGTGACTCAGTGTAAGCCACTTCTTCAGAGAATAAATAACCAAATAAAAATCAACCCAAGTTTAAATGATACAAAGTAACAAGGCAAGAATATTAGGTGTAATCAATCAAAAACAGGTCTGGAAAAGTTAATATCATGTCATTCCGGTCACAGTGATTTATATGAGACATGTAAATGTGTGTGTGTATGTAAGTATGATCACGGATGAAAAATATGACATTTGTGGTGAGAAATGATAATTTGATTTTAGAAATCAAAACAGGATACGAACACTAAAATATATTTGTCTTACAAGAGCCGCCTCAACAGTCTCAAAATATACAGTAATAAGCATAAATTTGAATGAATAGTGGGGAAAGTCAAGTTAGTGACGGTCCCAAGCCAAGATGAAGGTTGTGTGTGGGGTTAGCAATCCCATCCCGTAGTAAGAACCTTCCTAAAAAACACGAGCCAGAATAGGTCGGCGGCCTACACTCCACGAGGGATGACAGGCATAAGTTATATATATATATATATATATATATATATATATATATATATATATATATATATATATATAATTTCGACGGAGAAAATTACTGAGATTAAACTCGCCTGTGGATTTCCCATGGCATCTTTCATAACTAATAGCCTCTCAGAATTAACTTCAGAACTTTTATCAATTGATTCGTAGGCAGTAAGCTGAAGAAAATACAGATAATTTGATTTAGTTTATATACTAGGTACATGATAAGTTTAATAAAAGAAAAACCAATCTGCAAGCAAACACGTTTAGCTTCAAATTTGCCTGGAAGAGAAGTAATGATATTTTATGGATAAAAACCGATATATAAAACAAAACAAAATAAAATGTCGATTTCCAAACGCATGTGAGGATAAAACAAAGTGAAACTAATCTGTGTGATACCAACAAAACTATGAAAAGGCATAACTAATATTCATTTAATGTGAACTGTTATTGAACAAACACTCAATCAAATATATGGATGTGGCTAACAGTGGAATCCAGGACACGCGTTTCGTCCTATTTAGGATTGGTTAGCTGGATGTATCTCCATTTCAGTGTTGTCTATATTGGAGTGGGGATAGTACGCTCTCCCTCTCGAAATGCTCTCACACGGTCACGCGTATACAGCCTCTGCCAGGGAAGTCCTACTCATTGCCTTCTCGTGGTGGGGGTGTTGTTTACAAAAATGAGAGCACGAAAAGCGAATGTCCGGCGCTTTAACCGGATCCCAAACCAATGGTGCACATGGTCTCCAGTATCCTGAACGAACAAATGGCGTATGAGCTAATCGTTGATCACCGGCTACCACGGGACTGCATCTCCTTACGATGCTCCACTGCCTTGTGGGTTAGACCTTTAGGTCAAAGGCTCGGGGTGTTGCCCCCTAAGAAAACCACCTACTTTGGTATGGGCACCCGGGCAGTATCACAGCCCACACACAAATATGATGAACTGCAGTACTTCGTGCTTCAGATACAAGCCCGTTTACCACAATCTATCTCTTCTTCAAGAAATGACAAAATGTTTGAATCGAGGCAATCCTTATACGATGCCACCAAAAAGCGATCAAAATTCAGTTTAGAATGACAGCAAATACTTAATCCCGCATTAGAGTGACCTTCAATCTCAATATATATCTTATGCACAACATGCATAATAGACGTTCAAAGTTGGTACAAAATGTGTTTCAGCCAGGTATTAAGGAAATTCAGGCCTTTTTTCAAATTATTTGGTACAAAAATCTTTAGATTCTTGTCAGTGAAAACAGTAGTTTATCCTCTACGATTGTGGTTTACGAAAACATGATCACAGCCTAGTGATATCTGTAATATGGTTTCCGCAAACAAGGTGTTAAAGATAAGAACATTGTTTCTTTGTATTTTAAAGTAACAAACTGTGGTAACACACTATTTGATTAGCTAAGTGCAACAAAGCATTGCATGGCATACGTCATAAATAGATGTGAGGAATGGTAAGGCAGATCGAAAGAACTGTCTATGGTTAGTTGAAAATTGTCCACTTAATTCATATTATATATGTCCATTTAATAGATCAGTAGATCTATATTTCGACATTTTGATTGCACTTATGAACTTGATAATGGGAAAGGTTAGATTTATAAATCGCACCTTTCAAAAAGCAATGACCGATTTCAATAACCATCACTATCCAGATTGAAACGAAAGCACTGGTAACACAATTTTGTTTCTGAAGTGCAATATTATCAACATTGTTTACGATGCAGATTTTAATAACATGAACCATCAGAAAGTGGACAAACAGATGGCAAACCAGATTAGTTATGCTGATGTTTCTTATTGACCAATGTATTTCTCAGACAGCTTTACACTTGACAAATACATTGTTCATCTGAGCAAGTGAAAGTTGGATTGATTGAACGATTGTGATATTTGAAGATTTTGCTAATTAAAAACTTCAATTAACTTAACCTAATCCAAAAAATGAAGATATTTTGAAGTAAGACAGATGAAATTTAGTTCGTCACTGCTAATATTCGTTTCACAGAGCACAGTAATATATTCTGTCATTCTAGACGTTTGTTGCAAAGACATATGTTGACGAGTTAGGTTCCAATTTAATTTTTTGGATCACACACAACTTTACAAAAACACGAGTGAATGTCACAAGATAAAGTGACTAGTGGACAAAGAAACACATCCTTTTGTTACAAAAATCAAATATGCTTATAAATCACCATACATAACATTTTATCTTTAAAAAAGGTTAACCAAATGATGGATCCCAACACTGAAAAAGCCCATATAGTGATCTTATTTTACGTGCAAAAAGCTGTCCAATAGTTCCCTTATACTCCTGAAGGGAATCTTACACTGTTGAATTTCATTAAATCCCTTAGAATCATGGGATCCATACAATACATCATAACTGTCTTAACACATAGCTGTTTAATTGCTACAGTTATTACTTTCACGTAAAATATGCTCGGGAAAAGTAATAATTAATACTACCGTCAGTCAGGTGGTCTGGGACTTGTACAGAATTCGTAAGCAGTAATAGTCCAAGTATTTGTGGTTGTACATTTAAAAGCACTGATACATAAAATAAGAGTGTGTTATTTCGGGATAGTCGAATACCGTTAATTGGAGTTGATTCAGAATTGAATATAAAATCATAAGAATTACTAAATGTCATCATGCTAACTGGCCATCCATTTGGATCTTATTTTGAGAATCATAGGTTCGACCGACTTAACGTCGAGAAAAAAAGATTTTAGCTTTTAATTAAGTTAAAAAGCTTTGCATACATTTAAAATCCTGACAGAATGTTGTGACAACCGAGAGAATTTCATTGAGAGGAAAATTAACAAAAACACCTTCAATAGAGAAAACTTAGTGATTTCAATGGAATATTCTGAAAATGTATTTTAAACCAATCCGTTATTGAGAAATTGTCCTGCACCAGGAACAAGTTAAATGCATACATTTTCAAGGACTTTTATAATACGTTGGACAGCTGAAGTGTTTGTTCAGTAATATATTATAAAGATGTCATGTGTCAAAACCACTTATTTATTTTAACATATAAACATTCATACAAGGAGACGCTATATATATATATATATATATATATATATATATATATATATATATATATATATATGGGATCAATCCTCGAGCATTAGACTTAGAAGTCTAGTCCACAAGGCAGTGGAGCAACTTTAGGAGATGCAATGGCATGGCGATCAGTGACCTACAGTAGGTTTGTACACCGTTTTCCCCTCAGAATCATGGAGCTCATGTGCACCATTGGTTTGAAGTCACAGTTTTCCAACTCCCTTGGCTGGATCCTCCATACCCACCAACCCGGTTAAAATGCCAGATATTCACTTTTCGTCCACCTCAATTTGCGGACAATACCCTCACCGCAAGAAGGTAGTGAGTAAGACTTTCTAAAACCACTCAATCTTCATACAAAACTGTGAATATGTGTTGTGTTTTCAGCTTATAGTAATTACTGCTTGTAACTGTGTAAGGAGAATAAACTTACATCATCCAATGGTATATCAAGAGGAGCGATATGCTCCACAACTTCTGCATCAGGCTCTTCTGGACTATATGGAATACTTTCACGAGTAAAGTAGATTGCTTGCAGAACACAACGTTCTCGTTCTAATTGAATCTGACGTTCAATAGATTTACAACCTGGTTCGACCAAGAGAAGTCGTTCTAATGGACAAGGAGGGTGCCACTGTTATGGGGAATTGAAATAGGAAGGAAACTTATGAAATTGTATAAATCTCACTAAAGCAGAAAAAACATCAAATACTGACATAGACCAACATAATGAACAAAATGATAGTAAAATAATACGCTGAAAAACGTATAGATAATTGTGGAATGTTAAAAAGTTCACAATCATATTTCCCGATCATTGATGACTGAGTCATACATATCCTGGTCCATGTTTATAACATAATCAAGAGTAATTGGAAAATTTGACAGGAAGAGAGGGTGAGGACTCCAGTCTGACGTATTGTTTAGGAACTCGATAGCCAATACCTTGAGACATTGACATATTGGAATGTAAGCGACTAGTCAGCTTATTGAGACTCCATGCTTGGTCGTTGACGAACAATTGTGCTTATCGTCGATATTTCACATGACCGACGAAGAGCTTTTGGGAAATAAGGAGCGTAGAATAAACACGTGCAAGGAAGTAAGCCTAATGAGACTATTCCACCAAAGTATACTAATCGACTCTTTAGGATTCCTTTGACAAAAATCTATACTTGTGCGAATACTTAACTAGACATTTCCAATTCGCAATTTTACAGGTTATAATCTTTTTACTAGTATTATAACAAAAATGTTTCATTCGCTCATGAATTTTGTATGCGAGTCCTCCGGAAAATCACAACCGGATTTATAGAACTTTTAATAATGAACAGCTAAATTAGTGATCAAGGAATAGCAAGACGCAGCTTATCAGCAGTTACTCAGATCTATTAACATAATCTCTGAAGACACTTTAGTATTTTCCTGAGTATTTAATTATGTCAGCTGGTGTGACCAAGACTGTGGAGACGATTCCCTCAACTTTCATCCAGGCAAAAACATTTTATGGGCATATGCTGCCGCTGACGAAATTCATGTTTACTGCTTTCGGATTGCGTGAATAAGCTTCGCGAGGACAGGTTTTGGTTGATTATCGAAACATCACAAGTGAACGTACCTCAATATGCAAAAAGAAACCGCTGACAATTCGTGGATGTTACAGTGACCATGTATACAATACGGTGAAACGATAGAATGTCTTAGGAAATTTGTTGCGCGCAAATAGTTGACAAGAAGACCGTGCCAGTTAGTATTCAATTCATACTATGATAGATAACTTGTGCCTATGATATCTGGAACTGATAATCTACTTTACGCTAGGACACATGAATGCATTCAGAATGAGATATCACCTGAATATGTAACGAAACAACTGACGTGTTTCACACAATACCGCCACACACCTGCAGTTTTAAGGCAAGTCACTTCGGCTTCAGACACATCCAGAAGTGTTATATTCTCACAAATACAGTGACGCGTGCTCACAGTACAATATACGAGATCTTGGTGGAAAATGTTTGGTCAGATCACTACAGAAGTTTTAACACTGAAGTCATCCACTCAACCGTATTTTTTTAATTCAGCGTGGAAGTAATCGCAAGGTTACTTGAGAATTATATGTCGATTAGAGGTTGTCATGTTGGTACTTAGGAATTCAGAAGAGCAAAACATCCACACAACATAAGACCGTCATGATTGATGTGAGAATCTTACTAAGGCATATTGTACAAACTATGGTTATTATCTACATTATGTATGCAAGTGATGTTAATATCTTGATTGTCTAATAATGCACACTTGATTTCTCTACTACAATACAACTAGTACAAACCCACGGATTCCCGAGTGTGTGAAGTGACCCTAAAAATGTAAGAAACCACAGGGCGTTACGAGTTAGACCCGATTATAACGGAAGGTACAAGTTAATCTACAACTGACATCCGAACTAGGGAGTCTTATTTGTGATAACATCAGAATTTACATGCAGCTTTCTATAATGACGGTCATATATAATTGTGCCCTAGATTTCAGTCAAAATATACGACTAAGTGGTAGTTGAATGCTTTATATTAACGAAAAAGATTTGCCGAACACTCAGATGACAAGAATTGGAAGAAATACCACCAGAAGTAAACATCAGTATATGACCGTCTGCAGAGTGTGGTGAATTTTGGAAAATATAAGTTGGTGCGATGACCAGATAACTAGTACTTGTACTTAAAAAAACTTTTAACACAGTAATGTGGAGACTGATATATTGCTATCGTGAAACCTTTCAAGTAGAACAAAATTATGGATATTTTGTGAATAAACCACCCACCGTAGTTGCAAGAAAAAATTAATCATTCGAATAAAAATATTTTATTTCAAAGAAAACCACATGTACAATAAGATCGAAATAAAATTCAAGATAAAACGAATATTCAACGAAAATTAAGTTATAAAATAAAAACCTAAAATAAAAAAGCTTTAAAAAGAAACATCTTCAATTACTTGATAATATATACATTACTAATATTAAATTTAATTATAAAAGCTCATAATTATTGATAGCTTCAGATACTTAAAGCCGTCGAACTTTGGAGCTATATCGAGTTTAACTTACCTTCTGAGAATAGACATCGGTGTCTTCGTGGGATCGTTTGAAAAGCTGACGTTCCATTGAATGTTCCTTGCGACGAATATCCTCAATGGACACACGATTCACATTAACTATAAAACATGATGTATATAGCATTATTGATTAGGATCGAGGAAAACAGATCACAGACAAAAGTATGCACCCTAAATATAATCCCAATTTACCTCTCTCAGACTCATCTAGCTCAAAATAGTAGAAAGACTGTAGCTTGTCCTCATCAGCCCAGGAAACTCGTTTTTTAGGTTTATTCTCAGCAGGGAAGGTTGAATAGATGTTAGACAATGAAGATTTCCTGGAGCCCATTCCCTTAGGGGAGTTCGAAAATGAATCATATGCGCTGCTCTGATCAGATAACTCCGTATAATTTTCTTCTTTGCTCTACAACTATTAATATATTAATAAACAGACGTACAGTATGGAGATCAGTTTGTACAACTGGCTCAATTTTAGGAGATATTTTCCTCTTCTTTCGAACAACGGGACATGGAGAAGTGGTGAGTGCATTGATAAAATCCGAACTCTCATGAATCTCTGAAAGAAATTTGTACCAGTTGTATTTCTAAATGTCAAAAAACCTTTGCGAGATTCCGTCGGAGTAACAGTTATTTTTTGATGAAAGGATTCTATCGGGAGTTCAGATGTCAGACTTCTATCATGTTCGACTTTGCTATTTGTAAAAAATTAAGAAACCCTACCGGGTCTTACTTTTTCTTCGCGAATATATCTGATCTAGATTTAGGCTGGGGTTGTGCAGGTGTATCTTCCATACCTGCTGTCCGCATATTATTAGGTGGTATTTTAACAGTACTCCGGCGTTTCTTCTCATCTTTTAACGGGTCATGCGACTGAGCATCTTTGTTAATTGTTTTTGTTTCAGATTCTACTTTTTTCCTTTTTACATGATTTGCTGAAAATATATTAAGTAATACAAACCTAACTTACAGACCAACTGACGGGAATCAGAACTTATAACTTCTTTCCATTTTTTTACAATCTCAGCAGCCACAGATTTTACCTCTATTATAGAGACCTAATTATGCCTTGGTGCACATTACCTTCATGATCACAACGTTTCGTCAAAGAATTTATAAGTTTGGGACAAACATTTTGGGTAAGCTGCTCCAATCTCACAGGAAGTAGCAAGTACACTTTTAAGAGCTCTAACAAAAAAGCATAGTTATCCTCTTTGAGGGCTTCTTGAAGCCATTTAAGTAATATCTCCCATGCGCCATCTTTACATAACTGCAATTGTGTTTCTGGAGACGACGAAGCAATAATACACAAAGAAATGCATTTTGGAACAAGTTTACGGTTGGCCGACGACATCAACTCCACCAATGCAGAGACGGACTGCTGCATAATCCCACCAGAGTCCGTCAAATGTTCACTGTAAGCCTCAAGTAATCTTGTCGGTTCTGTGACAGCCTGAAAATGAAGAAAAATTATCTCGATGACAGATGCCTAGATGTCAACCACAAGTTAAGTCGAAGAATGAACTACCAACTTACGGAATGCAGACGTTTAGGAGAATCATAGCTCAATGACCGAGTGTCCCGTGCATCTTCAAAACCGGGATGTGAGCAGACTAGTTTTCGGGACACCATAGCAAAACGCACACTCCAACAAAAGGATGCCTGATGTCCGGACGTGCTACGCCTCTCAGTAAAGCGGACGGGTATTTAGATCAATTTGCATAGAGTACTCCGCGTGATATAGCGTCTAACTCGCAGCCAACGCATACACTGCTCGAACCACATCTAAGACAGTTACACATACATTGCTGATACAATCTTTCAGTATTTCAAGACCCTGGCCAAGTTTGTGATCTTATACTACGTAAAACAAACTCTTATTCGAGCCACTTATGAAAATACGATAGGTTGCCTGCCTAGCAATCTGACATCACTTACATGACAATGTGACTTCCCATCTTCGTTGGTGGGATTTACATCCACACTTACGAGCTGGCAGCCGATAACTAGCGAGTTGGTTATGACCAAGCCCACAACAGAATGGCTAACTAGTAGTCCTGCCATCAACGAGTACAACACCTTACCCTGGTAAGAGGTAAATAGGTACTTCCAGTGTACATACAATTACAACATATACACTACCCAGTTGTTATCAGCATACGGTCTACCATCGTTAATAGCTGCTCCATATCACGACAGCGCGGCGAAGGACTCACATCATGTATGGGCAGGAGGACGTATTTGAAGCCAACCGTGGAGGTAATGTAAGATCGGAAGATGGCGCTCAATCAGAGAACTAACGAGCGTCAATCGATAGCCAAATCATATTTTGCAACGTCACTTAGAATCTCCAACTAGTTTCGACCGTTACATCGAACACAGCCAAGAATTCTGACTTCTGTCAAACCAATAGTTTGTAGCCGTAGTATGCTTCCACTATCGCGTGAAATCAAAGCGCGGTGATAGCTTAGCAGTTTAGGTTACAGGAGTGAAAGTACACTAGACTGGACGTAAAGTTCATCGGAGTACGAGTTTGGTGTCCCAATTCTGAGATGACCTTCTGCTACGAAATTTATTTTTTACCCAAGTGAGAAAAATCTTTCAGAACTTCCTCAACTATGGTGACGATCATTCGGATTGGGAAAGTGGCACAAGATCTGAAAAATATATCCCAACCAATCAGACTAATCACCAGTCTACGAATCCTAGGTCTCAAGAACAGAACATTAAGACAATCAGATTCGTATTTTCTTTTTGTTGAACGGGATAGATAACGAACTTGCATGTGTATGTATTAACCAGTAAATGTCAATGAGTTGATTTCCTAGTACCGAAGACAACGTTATTCAATAGGACCTTTGGAGATGTGCCTGACTTTGGGGGAATGTGGCACAAGTTACTTAGGTAAACCTCAAATGCATCTTAGTAGATAAACGTGTTGAGCTCAATCTTAGCAGCACATTTTTGGAATTAGCTACGCTGGGAATACGTGCAATGTCAACCGGGCACCGTGTGGACCTCTTTTCAGATTCGTCAAATTGATTTACCAAATTGTAAACTCCTATACACCGTAGTAAATGCAATGTGTAGCAATCTTCGTAGCCTAGTTCCGATATTCAACTGCCATTTAAATCAGTGGAAGAATACGATCCTGAACATTATTTTGGCATCGTTACTTTTTACATAAATTAGGAATGTTAGTAATTATCGTCCAGCATTCATGACAGGTAGGTGTTGTTGGCGCCTAATCAGTTGAAACAAATTATCCTACCATTTAAATGAAAACTAAAGAAAAATCATTTTGAAATCGGCCAGTAGTTCTGAGTGAATTGTTAATAGACTGTTTGTGAGAAAAAAAGGTTGATGTCAGTTAAATCCTCTTGGAAGCACACATTTGTTGATGAAAACCCCGAGAGCATAACTTCGCAGAAAACAAATAATCTGACATTTCGTAAAAATGATGTAAGGCAAAACTGTGTAATGCTTGTTAATTAAAATTAGAAAAGAATGAATACCCGAAAACAGGAATACAGTTTGCTTAAATATACAGTGAAAATGAAATGAAATCGGGATGGTTATTCACGTAATAAGTTCTCGAAGTTTATGTACGAAGTGAAACCCAGAGAAACCACTCGTCATGGACGGGATGAATCCAGCCATATTCGGTGGCGATTGTGAACACTGGGTGGGATTAAAAGCTGAAAAAAAGTTTTAGCGAGCTAAATTGATAATCAAGTTTGCATAAACTGGTGGAAAATTACCATATTAAATATATAAAAATACCTGACAGACAAATACCCTCATAAAGGACTGAAAACCAATCAGACGCATTGAACAAAATTTTTCCATTAAATGCTACAGAATATAATGAGCTATATTTCACTAGTCTTAATAAGAAATACTTCATCTGACCACCACTTAACACTTTGTCTAATCAGGGTTTGGAAATTAGATAATTAACTTCATTTACATCAGTGGATTTGAAACTTAATTTTCCCTTTTTCTATACTGTCAAATACAAATTATTTCATGAAAAGTCAGTCCATACTACTACTGATGCTGTCGTGATCTCAAAGTACCAAAATTAAGGCATAAAAAAATGAGATGAGTGGGGAAATGTTTACATGCAGTGGCTTCAATGTGAAACACGTCTCGGTAACTTCGGTATGTTTACCGTACACCATTTCAGTTGCTAGTGTTCATAGTTTTCAAGTGGTCAGTTTGCAATGGAACAGAACTACACACTCCGTTTTTTTAGTATTTACTCACTTATCATGACTTTTACAACGGAGACTTCGAGCTTAGTAAAGCATTATATATAAAGAACAGAAATTAGTGATCGCGAAGAAATACTCAATACAAAAAGACGTATTTTATATCTAACCGAGTCGCTACGTTTTTTTTCCATTTTAGTTTACATACAGGTTTAAGTATTCGTTTCCAGTCACATGTTTTGCAGCTGTTCCAATAAAAGCGTGGGTTTTCAAACCTAAGATCTAATGGCGGAAAGTTGTCACCAGTCGACAACACCACGAGTTTTTGCCCTTCAATGCCTCATAACTCCCTTTTTCTATTTCTACGTTAGAAATATATACTTTCTTGAATCCTATCTTCCGTGCTTATCCTTTATATCACCGTTACTACCGCTAGTATTTTGAGCTGTGACGTGACAATTTCATCTTTGGTAATGGGGTATTGGAACTTGAACTGATGCACATATGTACCAGAATCTACTTCGTAGTTAGCCGACTCGTTTTTATGTATTACTAAATGAGAAGGCTGAGTATACTAATCCAAAAATCCAGGTTGACGAGTAGTCTTAGTAATCCAAAACAGATAAACTCAAGGCATGTACTTTATAACATATGACAGCCCCCGATCCTGTGACGTAAAATGCTGGAATAAACTGAGGAAGTGATATGACATTTACAATCCCTTGTGAACGTACTGCACACATATGGACAGGGAACTAGTTGTACTTCTGTCGAATTTCCTTTATTTTTTCCGCATATGGCACTGCAAAGCTTGTAGCGAGTAACACACGCCGGTGACATTTAGTCAGACTAGTAAGCTAACTGGTGTGCACACATCATAAACACAAGATTGGAAAGCGAATTCGAATGAGAATATGGTTACAACCAAAAGCAAAACAATTTATAGAATGACATGATTGGGACAGATACACCACGATCGATTTAAATGACAGCTTACAAAGCTTTCATTCCATACACGTCTAAGGCCTAGTAATATTTAGTGTAAAATGACATCCAGTGTACACTTGATCCCGTTTACGTTCATATATCGTAAGAGTTACAATTAAATGCTAATCATATTCACACCTGCTAATAAAATTTCAAATCATCAAATTACTGTTTATTAGTCTGTGGGTATTTTAAAGGTTGACTAATATTTTAGCTAAGATCTGAGGGTTAGACGTTATTCCATCTGACTGGTCGCACTTATCGTCCCAATATATAAGAAAGGGTCAAAATCATCCTGTGACAACCACAGAAGGATTGGTTTAACTAATATAATATCTAAAATACTAGCTTCGATAATTATCAGACGCCTAACTAAGACTCGTGAACTGCAAACATGAGAGAACCAAGCTGGCTTCAGACCTGGTCGTGGCTGCATCGACCACATATTCACCATTCGTCAGATTCTAGAACACAGGCATACTTACCGGCGTCCGACAATGGTGGTCTTTCTCGACTTAAAAGCAGCATTTGACTCTGTAGATCGCGGGATTCTGTGGCAGTGTCTGTCATTGAAAGGCGTACCCCAGAAGTACATAAACCTTGTAAAGGCTCTTTACTCGAACACTACCAGTCGAGTCAGAGCTTATGGCGAACTGTTATATACTTTTGCAACCTCAAGTGGTGTCCGTCAAGGCTGTCCACTTTCTCCATTTTTATTTAACTTCATCATAGATCTACTGATGGAAATAACTTTCTCGTCGACTGAATTCTCGGGTATTGATCTCCTACCAGGAGGTCCACTTATCGGCTTAGAATACGCAGATGACATAGTCCTGTTTGGTGAAGACGCTGACAAAATGCAAAGTCTTCTGGTAGAGACAATGCCAGAATGTTTGGAATGCGCTTCTCTCCCTCTAAATGCAAGTTGTTGCTTCAGGACTGGTCTGCGTTAACACCTGAACTAAGGATAGGGAGTGAATTAGTCGAACGCGTTGACAACTTCACTTATCTTGGAAGTCTGATCAGCCCTAACGGGTTGGTGTCTGATGAAATCTCAGCACGGAGTCGAAAAGCTCGTTTAGATTTTGCCAACTTACGTCACCTGTGGCGAAGGCGAGATATCCGTCTATCAATAAAAGGACGAGTATACTGCGCGGCAGTCCGTTCTGTTTTAATTTACGGCAGCGAAACATGGCCATTAAGAGTAGAAGACACCCGTAAGCTACTAGTATTTGACCACAGATGCCTTAGAAATATTGCTGGCGTCTGCTGGGATCGACGGGTAAGTAATAGTCAGGTTAGACACAAGGTATTAGGGAATGATGGTAAATCACTTGATGAGGTTATGAATCTTCATCGACTGAGATGGTTCGGCCACGTGCTACGTATGCCTGAATACTGATTACCACGACGTGCAATGCTATCCGGTATTGGAGATGGTTGGGAGAAAGTTAGGGGCGGCCAAACCAAAACGTGGCATCAGTGCTTGAAGTCACTAACTTCTCTGAGCCATGTTGGTAGATGCAGACTACTTGGTTGGGGTCCGCGTGACTATCGTAACCAATGGTTGGAGACTCTTGGTGACATGGCTCAGAATCGATCACAATGGCGTCGGTGCATATACTCCCTGTCTTCCCTTAAACCAAGAGATTAAAATCCCTTTATACCTTTCTTTCTACGAACCAATGTTTTCTTCTTGTACTATATCTCTATATGCAATCTTTCTCTTATATATTACCACCTTTGACATAACCACTGCTATGAATCCGGTGTTCATCTTGTTGTGCTGATGCGGTATGGCAACCTGGACCGATGCACATATGTGCCTGGTCCTACGTTGTAGCTGACTGACACTAACGAACACGAATATTCCACACGAACTATTTTGGATCGTCATTTTAAATAAACCATAATGATGCACAAATGACACCGAACATACTTCACGAAAACACTACGACTGTGATCATAATTTAGACTGAAAATCCGGAATTTTCCATCATTCGGGCCTAATGAAAATAATTTAGTCTGCGTCAACATAAGATTGGCACATAGGGATATCCAAAACACGTGCGCCACAAAAATTTCATTTGATTTGTATGTGGGCTATGGTACTGCCCATATCCAGACTGAAGCAAGTGGGTCTTTTTAGGGGGCCACACTAGGAGCCTTCGACGCAAAGGTCTAATCAACAAGGCAGTGGAGCATCGTAAGGAGATGCAGTCCCATGGTAGCTGGTGACCAATAATTGGTTCATACGCCATTTGTTCCCTCAGGATATTGGAGCCTATGTGGATCCTCCACATCCACCAACCTGGTTAAAGCGCCGGACATTCGCATCTCGACCTCTCAATTCCGTAGACAATACCCACATCATGTAAACTGCAATTGAGGTACTGGTTGTTTATTTCAGTCGATTTGAAAGAGGTATAAGCTCTCTCATAAATGCCATCAATATACACTTTATAAGTTATTTTCCTCAGTGTAAACTGCTCGACAGAACTGTTTATTACATAAAAATGAAACACGTATCACTTAGATTAGCGAATGCTTGCAATTTCTGTAGTAATACCTTTCAGACGCCCTGATACTACATATACATACAACCACAGCCCGTAGGCAATTCCGATATTTTAAACTTCACAAAAAACTGCAGATAATGTATACATGCTGACATCCATTTGAACAGGAATTTCAGTCAATTTATAAGGACTGCAGGGATCCCAACCGCGGAAACTTAGGTACTTTTAGGTCATACTCGACTTTTACAGTAATATTATACGTCAACACTAGTTTATTGGTCAAGAGAATAATGGAATCTACACAAAGATGAGAATATGATTATCAGGTGATGTTCCTCGGTCCTAAGAAAGACTAATCGCAAATGGAGCCGGTTGTTAACCATGAATACAGTGAGTAATCATGAACTATCCTGTCTAGTGCGAACACGTCCATATATCCCAGTACCTAAACTCAATAAGTGGAAACCGATGTAACTAATCATTCTATGGAGGATGTTTATGTGAAAACTTAGTTAGAAGACGGAGAGACTATAATTTATGGACGAACCAATCGGTTATAACATGACAGATCTCGGATTTTTGCACGGAACTCACTAATTCATTTGGCTAAATAGAGTTCTGGCATTCAACCTTATGTCAGTTCGCGATGAAAACCGTAAATCTAATTTATAACTTTAACCGCAAACTGTGAATCATAATTCTAATTCCCCACACTGGTTTATAACCCTCGTTTAGTCGTAGTTATTAGGTGGACACTCAGGCGTCGCTTAAAGGTCGTTCACCTTAGAATACACTCAAACGATAGCTAAATCGTAGTGCTAATGTAGCAATGAGAAAGTAACACAAAGTGTTTACCTAACAGGTGGTGGTAGAGTCAAACTAGGTCAAGGGATTATCAATAATGCTACTAATCCTAACAAGCGAGTTTTGAGGCGGTTTCGCCCGCAAGCAGTAGTGAACGTAGATGGATATATATTTAGGGTCTGAAATCACACCTAAGAACGACAGTGATAAACAAACTTAAAGTCTAACAAAAACGCGTTTACACTAATGACGTAGAGTACGTCAGCCCCATCCAAGTTTAGTTAGATCATCTAGCTTATTTACATCAGTGTAACCATGGAAATATATAACCTTTAAGAATGGTCGTGGATCAAGTTTAGAATGAACAATCAAGAGGATATCGAACTGTTGATATCTGATTGGTGACTGTTGTTTATATTTAACACTTAGTTGTGAACCGCTGGATATTACTAGTAGGATTTATGTCAACAAGACACAATACGTTGCAGGAGGCAAGTGAACAGGAAGGGACGACTATACTTTATGATTAATCCCGCATAGTACTTCTGAGGACTTCTCAAAAATTGTAAGCTGGGGCCATTTACGAAAGATTCGACATCAGCCTACAACTTAGTCAGGTATATTACTTACGAAGTCCAGGAGCGGTATGTGAACTGTTACTGTCAAACCATGTCAGCCACAGCTTTGACGTCTGTGCTTCTATTGTATGGTGTAAAATGATTGATGTTTGCAAGAGCTTCAGTTATAGCATCGTATTCACAGGAGATTAAAACGATCCCTAGGTATGGAATTATTCTATGTACATTTTAGAACCCATTCGATTTTGAAAATATATCGTTTAGTTAACAGACTGACATACGAAATAACCTGAGCTACTTCCCGGAAGCGATTGAGTGTTATTTCACAAAATCGCTTTCAGAAGCTCGAAGTGTTCTCAACATATAAATATCCCGCTTACCCGATTCATTATTCCCTTAATCAAAGCCACAACGACAGATTGACCTATGTATCACAGAACCAGGAAGGATAAGAACGAAACTAACAGTCAACGTCAGAAGTATTGACTTAAACAACAGAGGTAGTAGTTTGTCCAATAAACAATATCCTGAAAGCATCATAGAAAAAACTAATCAATTTTCGAAGAATTAAGTTTCAACATCTTGGAATTGCTCCAACATTTTGACTACACTTTGCTTTTTTTAGCAATCGCTTACCATTACTTTCACAAGCCATCGATTACTTGATCATGTTCCTTCACGAAATGTTATCTTAGAAGAGATAAAAAAAAGTCAATGACACATAGCTGATAATAAGCGGTAAAACTGCACCAGCGTCTAGTCCTGTATATGCATACATTATCACAACTCATGCAGGACGCTTCATGGATGCATATGTTATCGGTACTCTTTTACTGAGATTTGAAAACAATATTGTAATTTTGGTTGAAAAACCACTTCAGGTAGCAGAGACTCTCCTTAGGAAATGCTGAGATTGCATATGAGTATTCGATATTTGATGGTAAGTTATGACAGAAACTTCAGAGATCACGATGTTAACCTCAATGTAAAGCTTCATTGTTTGGATAATCTGAGTTATTTAGTTTCATTTAGATCACCAATCAATCTAAGCGAGGCCACCATTGAAAACCTGAAAATGCTGAATGGCCAATTCATATTAGCGTGAAACTTCTCAGCAATGCCCATTCATGATCTTACACGCAGGGCTTGAACCCAGGAAACTTGGCCTCGTGTGTGAACGCTTAACCTATAGATAACTGAGTAAGTGTTCGACGGTGTTATTATCTATCCTCGCTCAGTCCACGGCATTACTCGATCAGCATTCATTGTCCTCAGTCAGTAACTGCTTTACACCCAACACGGATGGTGGTTTAACTAGGATGGGCTCATTTGTTCAATGAGATTCAATATTCTACACAACTCCATACTGAATGTTATTTAGAATGCTGTAGGCACTGATGAAACTAGGCTACATTCTATTTGCATCTGAGTGAAAATAACCTTTGGCTGTGTTGACAGCCCCTTAACAGCCAACCGTTGACCTCGAAACTAGTTTCATTGCACTGCGACTATATCACCAAGTTCCCTTTACAAAACACTTCTGAGATGTCCTATCTCAATCAATCCATCAGTAAACAGAACTGGAAAGAAATAATGCTATTTTCAGCAGATAAAATTGTAACAATGAATAAATAACCATTTTGTAAACTGCAAGAAGTGATGGACACTATACGCAACTCCTTGGTGCTCTTAAACGTTTTGATGACAAGACACAGTTTATTGAACGCCAGAAAACCCTTGCGGTTAACGACCATGAGGGAGAGTCTGGATTTTGTGTGAACACGATATTTTGCGCTACAATGAATAAACCACTTATGCTGAAAAAGTCGACATATGGTATAAAATGGCACACGAAATCATTATAGTGTTCCAGTGAATAAAGATATAATCTTCTGGTATTAGAGTTGAACATAACAGGCTATAGTCTGCATGAGGGGATAAGAGGAAAAACTGGAACTAGGAAAGCATTTATAAGAACTATTAGATACGTTGCGCAGGAATTCCTGTCTGGTACTCCTGACCGAAACCACTCGCTCAATACACAACAGTAGCAGGGGTTACTGCAATAAATAACGTCTTGTGAAGTCATGGTGGCCAGTGAATATAACCTACCATGTTCTCCACATCTCAAGATAGCAAGTTCGCTGTAACGGAAAGAGAATGATGAAAATCCCTATGCAGTTTTTTGTTAGACAGTACTGTCATTTATTTGTTTCTTCTCCCTATCGTGTATTTTAACCTTTGTTCAGATCTCGTTTAACCACACCTTTTGTTCTTCAGTCTTCCTAGTTTGAGCTTTTATTACGTGATTTTGATTAAAGACTTATCTTCTGTTACCTGATTTTCTATTGCATGTTGCCGGACTATTGACAGTAAGGTCGTGTTTGACTAAGCTCAAGGTCACGGCGTGATTCGATGTGCGACTGTTAACCTTTTGACTGTCTGCCTGGGAGGATTTCTGGAATCCCTGCAGATAGATATTTAATCCCATCTTGTTGGGAATATTTGTATTGATTCTCAGGTACCGAACCCTTTAGTATTAACTGTTTCTTTCATTGTTTAGCTCGATACTTTGCGTTAGAGAAACTTCTGACTGTATAGCACAGGCTGTACCGTTTGAGGTATTTTGTATTTTTGATATAATTTGTTCTATTTTCTAAATCAGAACCGTTTAAATTGAGCACGGAGTTTGTGTTTTGATATAATATAATATATATATAATATATATCTCAAAAACGCGTTGTACGCTATATAGAGGAACATAGTCTGGTATAATCGAATAAATTTTGCTTCGTCAGTCCTGTGTTCAAACCGAATACTGGCAATTCGGTCGTTACATTTGCCTTATCTAGTGGAATTACCAAAGACCTTCCGCATTATTGAAATTACCACTTTTCTGTTACGTGAAGCTCTGCTAGAACCAAAATTTGTATACTCCTTTTGAATAAACAGACAAGGAAGAGATTTCAAGATCTTGATTGTAACGTTTATTACACTGTACCAGTAGCAGCTGGAATGAAAGTTCATCTCATTAGTGTACACAACCACTTCACTATTTCCACTGGGAAAATGAGAAATGCAATGCAGTAAATAATCGAAGCTAATGGCTATAATGATATCATTCTAATAAAGGTTCTTCATATACTCTGAACTGCTTGTCCTCGGTTAACAAAACTTTTGTTTTTGACTTAAATTTCTTTGACTTGTCCATCCTGGTAACGCTGCTGGTGTCAAGCTCATTGTTTGATGTCTTTTTGAAACGCGATAGCGGTGAAAATTAGAGGGAATATTTAATCGAATTAATCATCTAGTTATTTTTGACAGTACAGAATACGTGATGAACAACTTTGTTGGTTAGTTAGTTGTATTACACCTGCTGTAGGAGTGTACGGCTTTATGTCAGATAAATATACCTGTAAGATCCATTTTGAATGCTTTGTGTGTTTGTGAAAATCCCTCCATGTATTTACTTGCACTTTGTTCCTATTGATCCTCTTAGTTGTACATTGTTAACTTTTTGGCTACATTTGAATTGTTAATATTTGTATTTTATTATAGTTTTCGTTTTTACCACACCTTCACTAATTCCCCATGTTTCTTCCCGAACTGCACTTATGTTGTTTTACTTGACACTTAGTCTTGGCGGCAGCCATTTTGGTTTGTTCCTGCTTTGATTGCTTGACCTGTGTTGACTGGAATTGTGCATTTTGGTTGTGAAGTGAAGCACTCTTCCAGAATTGAAAACACTGTGTTATAGAGCGACCAATTATTACCTTTTGAACGGATCTGTACGTGGTCTATCCAGACGGGATAGAATAGCCTTTATTTGTTGTGATTGGTAATTTTCTTGCATCCTTTATCAACTTTCTTATTTATTGTAATTTAGATTTGATCAATTGAACAATTATTGGTTGGATAGCTGAGTGGTTATATTTGTTTAGGTAATAATGTACACTTAAATTTATGATAAATTATAGAACCGCTATCTTACCCAATTACTTTGTTTTGGTTTCAATCGGGCGAGGGCGCGTATCTAACTCATCCAGACAGCTGTCCAGCAGTCCAAACGTAGTTTGGATCTTACAATACCTTGTTTAATTGCATTCTTATTCTTGATTTGACTTCCAGTAAATGCTGATTATATTGTCCTCCGGCACAAACGTGCATTCGTCTATGTCACTAAATCCCACTTATACCATAAAATGAGATTGACAAGATGGACAGTGTGTAAAGCAAAACAGTGTGGCAGAAATGGAAACGAGAAAGACTCGGGACCGCAAACGTGGGTCTAAAAGAAAGGACGAAAGTACTCATGTAAAGGTATGTTGGAGTTCAAAGTCTACAGGAAGGTGGATGTTAACATAGTTAAACAATTAAGACTAATGATCTGCGTTTGTTCTCATTGAAGTTAAGTTTCCCGACACTTATTCGCTCATGTTGACTAACATGTTTGCGTGGTCAAATTAACTAGTTCATATTCATATCCAGACGGGAAAAGCATTACAACTGCAAAATGACTGCTTGTTCGCCGTCTGTACATTATCTGCGTCACTGAAGGTATCTGGACCTTGATGATCGATTCTCAATCCTGTCACTTAACGTTTCCAACTGCTGATCGTAGTTATTGAACGGGCTCTGGTCAAGTAGTCTGGATGTATCATCATGGCCTGGATCAAGATTCATTGATTACATGGACCGATTTAATTTTTCCGTTTGACCAACACGGACACAGATTTCTACATACACAGCAGTCTTGGTTGCAGCGGTAACTCCAGTCACGGGGGATGATTTCATGCAGATGTGAGTAGAGGAGTTAATCTTCCAACCCTCTTCAAAGTGTCGATGACCCAGGTTCTTCAAAACGTTGTGAAAAGCCTTGCCATCTCCTATCCATGATTCCACATCCAAAACTCACAACACTGGAACTCTGTGATGAAACAATAAAATGCCTAAGTAGCGACGCACGGGCTAAAGGAAGGATAAAATCAGCCCCACAATCAGCTTGATGATCTTAAAACAAAACTTGTAACAATGTCATATTCTTAACATGATACCGTTGGTGACGAAGTTTTAAGATATTACTTAATAAGCGAAATTGGAGACTCATAGAATGTGAAGACGTCAAACGTTGAAACGTCAAAAACCACAATCCTCTCTTAAAGCTTACTTATGGAATTACTGGTGCTACTGTGTGACGAATGGTGCCAAATGCGTGCCTGGCAAAATACATCTCACCCTATGAGTGATTACATTCCAGGTGATACTAACATAATTATACCTGGAGGCTGATTACTAGGGTCCAGAACTCTCCACCCATAAATCGCGGATTTCAGAAATATGATCCAACAGCTAAGTTATCTGGCAAATAGTCATCTGCTGCCATGAAGAA